CTTCCTCCTTTCCTTCTTTTCCCTACCTTCCTTCCTTCCCTCTTCCCTTTCCTTCTCCCTCTTCCTTCTCTCATCCCTTTTCTCCTCCCTTCCACTGCTGGGCCAGCAGACCCGATGAGAAAATACCTTTGGACGTCAAATTATTGTTGTATTTAAGCCGACCAAGATTGTTAACGTTTATTAGGCCAACGTTTCGGCTTCCTCGCCTTCGTCAGAGCCTGAAAGAGTCCGAAACAGTTGTGATTTGCTCTCCCAAACGCCTTAACAAAAACTGAAGACCCTTTTGAGAAACTGGTAAACAACCTAACGGTATCGATCGGTTAAGATGACAACCCGTGAACTCGCGCCCTTCTCCGACCTTCTACATGAGGTCGAGGTTTGAGGTCGAGGGATAGAGGGGGATTCTCACTCATCGCATTACTGCAAGCCGGGTGGTCGATCTCGCGTCTCCGCGGCGGAGATCAAAGGTAAGCCGAGTCATCTTAACCGATCGATACCGTTAGGTTGTTTACCAGTTTCTCAAAAGGGTCTTCAGTTTTTGTTAAGGCGTTTGGGAGAGCAAATCACAACTGTTTCGGACTCTTTCAGGCTCTGACGAAGGCGAGGAAGCCGAAACGTTGGCCTAATAAACGTTAACAATCTTGGTCGGCTTAAATACAACAATAATTTGACGGAACAACTATGCCAAGATTAAGAGAGTCGGTCGTGGAGGATACCTCTGGACCCTCGCAGCGAGAACATGTTTTGGACAACACCCTGCAAGAGTGAGACATCCCTCAGGGTGCCCATTGGCGCGGCGAATTACGATTCTTGCCACATACCCGATGACAAGAGGCGCTGCTACGAGAGCGGTGAAGGACTAGATGAAACAGCAGAGGCGCATGTATGTGAAGACGGTCGTCAGAGGAACACGCAGCCGGCTCCAAAACTCCTTACTGCCATCCGATTTCGATCATAGCTGCCCCTAAGCAACGTATGAATTCCCGAATACACCGGTTTGATCTCATTTCTGACGAATACTTTCAAGCTATTGGAAATATATGCAGTCGATATCGTCGCAATCAGTCGTGGAGGTATCAGGAGAGTTCTTCCCACCACTGATTGCTTTCTTCCTAAATTGTTCATTCGACCATAATTGGCACAAAACGCAACCAGAGGCGAGTTCACTCCGCCCCACCTGACACCGCTGAATTTGACAATGTCAACAGTAGTTAGATAAGAAGTAAGTTACAGTTCCTCATAAAGGGATGGTAGTTTGTACAAGGCAGTGATCAGCAGTCTCTTTCATTTTTTGAGTAGGTAAACAGCGTCTTAATAGGTAGCGTTGGTTATTTGTTTTAGTATGGTAACAGCCTCTTAACATTGATTTCGCCCAACACGATGTTCGCCGCAGTACAATAAAAAGCGCCCATCCATTACAACGTCAAACGATGGAGCCCTTACACCAAACAAATCGAAGCTAGCACAAAAAATGGCGAGTAATGGGCAGAAGTCCTGACTCAGAGGAGGACTCAAACCCTCATCTCTGCTCCACTGCTAAGGACTGAAGCCCACACTCGCTATAAGACCCACTTTGTATGAACTGGTTCCTGCTAACGTTAGCGTTTACGAACAAAAGAGCTTTTAAGGGCTGGTGATCCTGAACTGATCTCGCCGGCGAGTGCGCTATCTATTGTACCACCGAGTGCACCTCTTGCCTGCCCATATTCTGCTCGGTGGTTTTTTCACAGTACGTCACTCATAAATCCAAAGTGAACTGTCGGTTGGTCTGTAGTCAGTGGTGTGTACGTGGGGGAGAGCTTGGTGAATTCGAAGAAAGGAAATTGAAGAAAATCAAGAATTTTGTAGACTTCTCCAAAAGGGAAATCAGTGGAAAACGCTGCTCCACTGCTAAGGATTGAAGCCCACACTCGCTATAAGAGACCCGCTTTGTATGAATTGGTCCCTGCTAACGTTAGCATTTACGAACAAAAGAGCTTCTAAGGGATGGTGATCCAGCAGTTGGAAGCCTTCCGCCATTCTGAGGTGGCAGCAACAATGCACGTGTACTTTAAGCTGGACACAGATGGGATACCGAACTAAGACCAGAACTTTGATAGCAGTACTTCTACAGAACTAGGGTGACCTGTAAGGAACGAACGCCTCCAGCCATACGCTAACACTGAGCAATGACTTAATCTGGTCAGTCTCTTGGACTGAAAATTTACTTCTTCTAAGACAGAAACCCAGCCAATCTCAAATCACGCCAACATGCGGACTATTTGAGCAATGCTCCCGCACTCCTGGCCAACGTGTGCATAGAGCGTTTCTCTCGACTGGGGCTTGGAAACTGTACCCTTCAGTGTCTTGTCATTTACAGTAAAATTTCGAGCGTGGATGCTAATAAGGGAGCGAATCCTAAAAAGTCACCTAAGTGAGAAATATTGCCCACGCCTCCTAGATCTTTTTTCGTGGTCCTCGCCTTGTATAGTATGGTATATGTATCTCGCCTTGTATAGTATGGTATATGTATGGTTTGATGTCACCATGAAAATACGTACGTCTGTTATCCAAATGTGATTTAGTGTCATCAGCTGATCGATGTTGGTGTTGGCCAAACTATCGTACCCTTTC